AATTTGGTCCTTTAAGCCCAAGCTATCGCAGTTTTGCCAAGAACACCTAAATCTAAACGGGTGAGTATAGTGTACAGCACGAACATGCAACTCGCGCTATTGGATTCCTTTGGCGTGAGTCTGCGTGGCGTGATCAACATGAAGAGGAGCGTCGTTGCGATCAACTAGGCGCGTCGTTGCGTTCAAGTAGCATATACCGGGAGTGGGAAATTACCTGGCCACGTTTTAACTATTGTCGGCTCCCTGGCGTACTCTAGGCGGTGCAAGGCAAAAGTGTCGCAGCAATCAGACTATATGTATGGTGGGAATCAGCTGAGGCAAATGATCACATTCGCGCGATGCGATGCTTTGTTTCTCCCTTGGCTCCTATGGTTATTTCCAAACTTCGGGATCGGCCAATTCAAATCGGCCGTTCTTTACGCTATAAGCGCAATAAGGATCGGCCGATCGAGGTGTGCGGCGGTTACATTGCAGCGTCGCAGTCGAATGGTATTTAGCCTGGAATTCGGCTCTTTCCGGCAACTTGCTGACAATTTTTGAGAACTCTAACACAACCTAAAGAAAGAAAGCAAGTCAGACTCGGACGATTAAGCGCGAAAAGGCTGGGTTAGAGCCGAATTACACCATATCGGCACTCAACAGGGGGCCGCTACGCCACCGCCGCGCCCCTCGGTCAGGATTCTTTGTGCTTGTAAGCGTTATAAGGATCGGCCGGTTCAGATCGGGCAATCCTTATGAAGTAGGAAGGTAGAAGTCTGTCAGGGAGCTATCAATACACGCGCAAACAGCAATCAATTAAACTGCTCGAAAAACTGCAGAAAATTGTAAGAAGGTAGCCAGGCTCTTTATTGCCAAATGCGGACGAACAAACTACATCACTTCATTGGGTCCGTATAAATTCTTTTTTTCTTATCAAGAGGGACACGAGATAGAGGGCCATTCACGTAAGCTGGCGTATCTGGTCAACCAATATCCAGCCACCTACCATTTGAGGATAACCTGGATTAGTCTACCTAGCGGTTATTGACTCCAACTCAATGCTTAGAATTTCTAAAAACAACAAAGAACTCAACAACATGCAGGAAATTTTTGAAGAGAAACCTAACTTTCTGTTAAGCGCTGCTTCTGAACCCCTTTGGATTACTTATTTTCCAGGTTATCCTGTACATGTAATATGCAGACGGCGAAGCAACGCTATGATGCTGTTAAACCTCGCGAACGGGTAGAATTTAGAGGCTACCGTTTCGTTATCCCCGATCCCAATTTTCGAATGCCAAAATTTCAATGCTGCAATGGAGCTCATGAAGGTGCAGAGCCATGCAGGCAAAAGTCGGACAGCTTTGATCTGACAGATTGTGTAAATGAGGTATATCCATAATTTTATGGTTGCTAGTAGCTGATATGTTTGCAGTGCATCCAGGTAAAGAATATCATTCAAACCACATCAACATCTGAAACCCCGGTAACAAATGCCACTTCTTCCACAACTGTTCAACCTCCCAGGAGTACGGCAGTCCCACAAAGCGTACAAAAAAATAATTCGGAACTACGTAACCTTCCAAAGAAGCAAGAGGCCCCAAAAGTACAAGCTGAACCCCACTTTTCATCAGTTGCGAAGTGTGCCCCAGCTCCTATAGTAAGAAAACTGTCTGTAGGAGTTCCACCACATCTATCGTCACCACCTTCACTGGCCGCAGTTTCATGTACATTAAATGTGAGTTGCGTTCATTACATCGTTCTTGAACTCGTTTTTCTTGTAATTCCCATTATGGCACAACATGTTGCAATTACTTGTGAACTCTTTTTTTTATTCATTTCAGTTATTAACTTTCTGCTTCAAATTT